ATGTTTATTCAGAGAAAGTACGTTTTTGTGTCTGATTTCGTAACTTAATTAATAGTTAGCACTAATTAATTAGCATATTTGAGGTCACCCCCAGGAACCATTAAGATTAACACTTAGTTCGTGAAAATCCGATCATTAGAACGAAAGTTATTCAGGGTGATATCTTTTTTTTTTGCGGACTGTACATGCGATTGCCCAAGACGTGCATGAGTGTGTTTCGAAAATACATCTAAGATGAACTTCAGGCGCATGAGCTAATTTTTATGTCTCAACTCATAATTTCAGAGACAAGGCATTCGCTCTCCTTATAAACAATCACGTGCTCAACTAGGGGAGCATTCAGAGATTGCCGCACGTCCGATCGCTGTCGAGAGAGAAAGAAAAAGAGAGTTTTTGGTGGAAAAATATATTTCGCCATTGAGGTTCTCACGTTTTCCGAATGGTGATCAGAAAGGCGTGAACTTTATACAGCAAGAATGGCTCTTAGAGCTGTCAAATTCGGTGAAAAGAGCTCGTAATTAGTAATTTACAAAGCTCTAGAATCTTATATTACAATATGTCGTAGAATTTTTTCATTTTTTGCCACAGTGAGAAGAATTTCTCTTTTAAGCAGCCCATGTTCTATCACACGTTGATCTTGGTGGGATTGACTCGATTGAGGTAGATTACGAGACACTTGAGAATAATCGAATTTCGTATTATTTGTCATTATATATTAAACTGAAATTAGAAAATAAGATATTCTATGCAATTTCTAGTTAGTTTGTAACGTCTAATACTCTTAAATGTTCCAATGAGAGACGAAAAGTTCTGCAAGCAGCGAGAAATTTGGCAGAGTTAAGTTCAGATCATATTTTGCGAATAGAGAACATCATCTTTTTCTGCCCCTTAATTTGAATTAATTATTTTCCTTAACCAAGTATCCCCATAAGTTGTTAAACTGTCATGCTTCATTTGAAAAATTAGAGTTAATCAAAGGTCATTCCTTTCTTTATTTGTAATCCATATTAGGTCAGCAAAGTGGGCAGCAGTTCACACCGGTCTTTAAAAACTGGCTGGAACTTCATAATAATTTTCTTGGCAACGTACTTGTCCCGCCAGTGACAATTGTTTTAATGTTTTTCAAAGTTTTTTCCAAATTTTAAAACTTTATTAAAAAAATAATTAATTAGTAAGTAAATAACATTTCTTTTAGCTAAAAATTGTAAGCATTTTTATCTGCATTTAGGTTATTTTTATCTATAAAGTGCTACAGTCGTTGAACTTGTTAAAAGTTGTAGGTGGGATTTCAGGTTGACAATTTGTAATTTCCCTTTTTATTTCAGATGAAACTTTATAGTTAAGTGTAACAATTTACGTTTCAAGCCTTAAATATTCACAATGAATGGTACTGAGGTTGATGGTTCAAGTTGTTTCAAAATTGGCCAGAATGTCAACATACAACGTACAGATGGTATGTAATGAACTTTTTATTTATATTAAAGTCGTTTTAACTCCAGAATTATTAAATCTTTTTTAGTATCCAAAAGTTTCAAATACTGATGTTAGGTTTTTTTTTTAAGTATTTGTATTCATTTTCTTGTAAATATATACCTAAAAATCATGATGACAGGATATTGATTTGTGAAATCGTGATTTTTAATATATAAAACTTATTAAATCTTTGTTTATTCTGAATTTAAAGAAATTTACTCTTATAAAGCCTAGTAAGCAATTTTTTTCTACACTAATTCTGTTGAAACTTCAGGTGTAAATCCTTTGTTTACTATTGTCATTGCCTTGTTATTTGTCTTTCACATAATTGATTTGCACTTTTTTTCTTGTTTAATAATTAAACGTAACGGTGTGTAATTTTTCGATTTGTTAATCTAATATTTATTAGGCGTTAATTTTAAATTATTAAGTTTTACAGATTATTGTGAAATGATCATTATAAAGTGAAACTCGCACAGTTTATTTTGTTAGTAGTAATTATATTAATGTTTATATCCAATTTGTATGTTTTTGAAAGTTTTTAATAAATGTTCTGTCTTAAATGTGCCCAGGTTGGTCAGTGCTTGACTGAATTAAGTGCTTGTAGGGTTGAATTTAAGAAATAAAAATATTACCCGCGTTTTAAATTGTCAATTGCATAGTGTATGTACATTTTCATGTTTAATTTGACATTAAAAAAAGTTTTGGGGAAAAAAAACCTTTTATTACAAAATATACTTCATATGTAGACCACTATATGTAACAAAAAATCAGTTCAAAACTCTGAAGCTGCACAGTTTATTTAAAAGGACATTTTCATATTTTTTAAAATATAATTGTCTTACTCATTCTAATCACTGTACAATATGAAAATCCTTTAGATGAAAATATGTGTTTCTTGTTTATTTTAGACTCCATTGCATAATTAAATTTTTTTCCATTTTTCACAAAAGTTTTTTATACTATGGTTAAAGCTTTCATGAAATATGTGATATTTGTATTACCAAATGTTTCATATTCAATTTTTTGTTTTTTTTTAATTTAAAAAAGAACCTTTTTTGGCAGATCAGAAAATATTTAGATTTTTTAATTCATATTGTTCAAATACTTAATATAGCATGAGCTTTAGTTTGATTTTTTTTCTTCATAGTAAAGCTTAAGTATCTTAATCTTTAATCAAATATTCTAAAACTATTGTATTTTGTTGAAGTAAACTACTTTGTTAAATGTAGCTTCTAATTTTTTCGTTTTTTTTAAAATCATGAATTTACAAAACATCAAAATGATTTTCAAATGTAAAATTTTCTATTGAAACAGTATGGAAGAAAATTTATGTTCTCAGAAATGCAAGGGCATGCTAATTTTTGCAAACCGTCTTTGTCGGTTTAAAGATATAAGGGTGTTTTGAAAAGTATAGAAATGGTCAAATACCTCATGTGTACATCTAATCAAACCTCAAGTATGTTTGACAATTTTTGTTCAAAATCCAGCAGTTTCCTGTAAAAAAATTCATTTGCTCCTAATATAATTCAGAAATTCAGATTTGTTTTTATTAGGATTTCATAGAATCTAGGACTTCTGAATTTCTGAGTCCTTTTTTTTCTTTTTTAAAATATTTATTAACTTCTACCTCTTTATCCATCTGTTAATATGTATATTCATAATTCTATCTAGAATCTCTCTTGATAGATAGAACAAAGGATTTCAAAACAAGAAAAGAGTTTTAATTGAACAATTAAATTTTTTAAAAATTTAGTTTAGTCTTATCTATTGTTCTCCAGTGGGTTCCTGCCCATTATGGGGTTACAGGTAATGAAAATGCAGACAACTTAGCAAAAGGGGGCCTTAAGTATTCAGACTTCTGCGCACATTATGCCCTTCTGTTCCACCAAACAGCTTATTAAGAAGACCTTTAAGACCTGCGCTCATGAAGAACTTATCGACCGTACTTCTACCAAGTCTTGGAGGGCTACCATCCTAAATTTATGAAATGGCCCAAGACGAAGAACAGTGGCTAAATTCTGCTCGGCTATCGGTCATGACTGTCTGCGGAAACATCTGTCTAGATTTGTAATTGTTCCTTCCCCGGTATGCACTCTTTGCAGTTCTGGTGAGGACATGAACTCCACGCACCTTCTCTGCTGCTCTGCACTTTGTAAGAATTCTATCACTGAACGCTATTGGGAAGCTAGAGACGTATTGTGATTAATAGACTTTGTAGCAGCATCTTTTGTTTCTTTTCTTATTTTATTCAATGTTTACATATGCTGTTACTGTCTATAATCTGCCATTGGAAATTTAAAAAAAAAGAAAAAGTTTAGTCTCATAGGGTAAACTAACCAGTGAAGGAACACTTAAGCTTTGCTTGCCTTTTAAAAAATCATATTAATTTCAAAATTCGTAATTTTAGTTAAATGACAGTGTCAACATATTTGTTACTAATTGAAAATTATGTAAAAAAATTGTAGAGAACTTACATAATATTGTTTTAAAGTTTTGGAGGTTTAAAGAACAAGTAGTAAGAAGACCAAGTGAAGGAACAGCTCTTACCAGTGAATGAACACCCAGTAAAGGAACACTTAATTTTGGTTATTTCTTAATGCTCTTTTTGAATTTATAAGCCATACAAATATTTAAAAACAAGCCTATTCTTAAAATTATAACATAAAAATACTTGCAAAACGTAAACTTTTTTTTTGTAATCATGAATTGAAAATTAAAGTGTCAACATATTAACACATACTGTTCATTCATTGAGAAATCTATGCCCAGTAAAGGAATATGCCTGTTCCCTCACTGGTTAGAAGTTGTTTTTCGTATTTTTAACATACTTTTGATGCGGAACATCACTAAAGGTACAAGAAAATTAAAGTTTATCTTTTATTTTCATTAACTTAGAAAAAAAAACAGTAAAGAAACACTTGTTCCTTCACTGGTTTTTCATCGTTTGGTGATCCAGTGAATAAACACCCTCTTATCTCAGTACTTGATTATGCTATGATGCTTAAAATAAATAAAACATAACTTCATTAACTATATTTTGAATTCTCTTTTTCATAGTGAGAAAAATAAAACTATTGCATGCAATTAATTCCACTTCAAACATATAAATACAAACACTCACCTTATAATTTCTTCAAAGAAACAAGGTGTTGCAGAGATAATAACAAATTCAAACATTTTTCCATTGAAGTCTATTTGACCAGGTAATCCAAAACATTGCTAGATGACTTCCTATTGTTTGGTAGTAAGCTGTTGTTACCAATCAATCTAAAGAAAAACTTTCAAATTCTTATCTTTAATCAATATATATGAAATGTTCCTTCACTGGTTGGTTTACCCATTACTACCTGCATTAAAAAAAAAAAAATGAAACGATGTAATATAATTCTTACAATCATTCTAATATTCTTCTTCAGCTATTTATAAAGATAATTTTTTTTTAAAAATTTACATTTAAAGTTTTTATTTTTGCCTACTCGCTATTTTTTTATACTAGAGATATTTTATAATTCTATAATTTTAATACTATAATTTTTTTTTTGGTTCCCTTCTATGATTTTTGGCATATTTGATGTTATAATGGATAAGCCAGATCATTGTTAGTATCTTTTATTATTATTGATAATAATTTGCTTGATGTTTTCTAGGCCGAATACATTCAGCTGTGATAAGTGGAATAAATCTTGTTAATAAAAGTTTGACTGTAGAATGGTTTGAAAATGGAGAAACAAAAGGAAAAGAGGTTTGTACAAAACTATCTATTTTAAAAATTATTTTATTGTAATTAAGTTTTAAAATAATGGGTTATCTTATAAGATACTGGTAAATATAATTTTAGCTTTGGCTTATTTCTTAATTGTTTTGTTATTTTAAATTTTGACAATTTTCTGTTTTTTAGATTGAGTTTAATATTGTATTCAGCCTGAATCCAGAAATTCCAACCGACAATGGAAAAATTTCTTCAAATACTATAAATTCTGTGAATTCCAAAAGGGTATGCAATTTTTGCCCATTTTTTTATAGTAATAAAACATATGTTTTTTATTACAATGTATGGAGTAAATTGAGTTGAATATATGTTTTTTGTTCTAATGTATTTTAAAATTCTGCCAAAACTGTATCAAAAAAATATTTTTATTCTTACATTGATGGCAATTTTATGAGAGACTGGAAAATACTATTTTCCTTATTTTTTCAATGCCTTCCAAAATTAGATATTTTATCAATATCAATATGCTCACTCATTTTACATTGGCAGTTATTTTTTGCACCCACTTATTTTGCAATTTGTATACTAATTGGCATTGTATTTTTTTAACCTATTTTTTATACATAAATTTGTGAAGCAAAATTAAAAGTTAATTTAAGTGTAAGCAATTCTTCTAAGACTTTTTAAATGCTGATTAATAAACTTAATATACCTATTTATGACTCACACCATATCAATTATATGTTTCATTTGCCAATTAATGCACAGCAGAAACTATTGTTACCTTTCTGAAAAAATATATATAAATTTTTACATTTCTATGTATTTGCAACTTTACTTTTTATTTATAAGTATAATTAATTCACCTTGAATATCAAATTTTTTAGGAAATAGTGTGTAATATAGTAAGTATCATTGGAATACCTTCATTTTACATATATCTCTCAAAATTGCTTATTAATAAAAAAAAGGAGATAATTCAGTTTAATTTAGATTCTATGATCAGATTTAGTTTTTAACTGAATAAACATTGATGCATTTTTTTCTTTCCTAACTCTATGCAAAGCATATATACAATCACTTGAAATTTTATAAGCATTTTTAAATCATCGCTATAAGCATATTCAATTTTTAAACATTTAATAATTATTAGTTTCCTAAATAATAATTTGAATAATACCTTATAAACCCCTGTAAAATGTTTAAAGTAGAACAATTTAAAATTTTATCGTTTTTTTCCTTTCAAATATTGGTTAAAATCCTCAAATCGATGCTGTCTCAAACTCTTTTGAACTTGGTCACACATTGAAATATGGAATAAACGAGGTTAATAAATTCTAATCTTTTTGCAGAACAAAGAGTTATTATTATTATATGTGGGAAATTTAAAAATTTTTTATGAATGTATATTTTAATTTCTTACCCCTCAAAAATCATACGCCTGTGATGCCTATGGTTAATAAGCAGTTTATTTGTAATTTTTTTCTTATATTTAAAAAATAATATATTTTCTAAAGATAAAATTTTTGAGCCTTTCACATCAAATAAGTAAAAATTGACCCATCTTTAATAAACATAAATGATCATTAATTTCTGCTTGAAACTTTTTGCATAAATAAGTTTTTGTTTTGTATGCAAGCATATTTTTTCTAATTGTTTTATTCAAATTTTTTTTTTCTGAGAATTTCTCTATTTCAGCATCTATTCACATTGCTAATTAGATATTTAAGGCTATTTCAGCATAAATTGTTTTAGTTCTAGGTATGTAATTGTATGTTTTAATTTTGTAATATTTTTTTTTAGAATGTAAATCGTCATACAGTTTTCACTCCAAATAAAGGTTTGTAATTTTTTTTATATAAATTAAAAATTTATCTTTATTAATTTGTTATAATTGTTACATATAGTTCAAACTGGCTTCATTATAATATATTTGTTGCATTAAGTACCAGGGTTGGGTCTTTGCCGTCAAAAACTGGCTTTTGACTTGACAGTGGTAAAAACCGTATTTTTACCGGTAAAAACAGTAAAAAACCTACTGTTTTCTTTAATTTATGGCATATAGCGGATAATATATTATTTTCACATAATTGCTTTTGCAAATGAATGTTGTAAATGATTGCTATTGATTTTGCAACTATACACATGTATTCTTATAGAAGGATATACATTCATACAGAAATATTGTAATATACGTATTGAAAATAGTGATACTTACTTATATCATAATAGCTTGATTTGCAAAGGATTCAAAATTTTGCACTTCTTAATTGTTAGAAATAAACAAACAAACAAAAAAGCTTGGAGCTATTAATAAATTCAAGAACTAAAAAGAATTTAAAATTTGGCATTTCTTAAATATAGAAATAAGCTAAACAGAACTTTCAAAACTTGTAACTACTAACAAACTCTAAGTCAAGAATTACTACTATTTTGTCAAGTTAAAAACTTTTATTCAGTTGAAAAAGCACATTAAACAAAACTTAATTACAAACAAAATTACATGTTCAGTAGTCGGGGTCACTGTGCCGAAGCATACGATAACAAGTGACTAATTTTGCGCATTTTTCATTGCCCAGTCGATTTCTAAGTTTAGTATGAATGAGTCCAAAATTCGAGAAGATTCAAAATTATTTTACCAAATACTTATAAATTGTTTTACCAAATACTCAAAATTATTTTACCAAAACTATGGGTTTTTGACATGACAGTAAAAACCGTTATGTGTCAAGAACTTGCCAACCCTGTTAAGTACCTATTAGTTTGAACTGTAAGTGTGACCTAATGTGAATTACCATTAGTTATAAGCTGTTCAAAATTTTCCAAAGCACTGTTAAAAAACTTTTTGTTTGATCAGCTAGTTATCAAGAGAAGATCTAAGTTAATAAAAGTATGAATAATAATTAAAATGTGTTATGAATTTTAGTGGATGTGAATAAATTAGCTTTAGAGTTCATATGTTACTTATTTTTGTTACTTTGTCCTTACTCTTTTATAAGAGGGATTAATGATTTTTGGATATAGCAGCTGCTTCTATTTTATGGTTTACACAGAGCTCATTCTAGGCAGGGTAAACAGGGCGCAGCACCCTGCTGCCCTTTTAGTCAAAAGAATCCCCCTGTTGCCCCTGAAGTTAATTAGTGCCCTGATGTAATAGACTCCATACCCTTTTTGCCCTTTCTTTCCACGATCCTTCTTTATTTTCAACTCTTTTTATTTAGTTTGTCATTGCTGTCAATATATAGATTTATATGGGAAAGGAAAAATAGCCATCACACTCCCTTGTTGCACTTGTCTTTGAAGGTTTGCAGTTACTTCACTATCGTTAAATCATAATTATTATCAATCATTTTAATTATTAAATCATAACTACAGACACATAAAAACATACATTTATTATTTTATTAATGTATGCATGCATTTTAAATAAATTACTAAGCTAATTAGCTCATTAACTCGATATATATATATATATATATATATATATATGTTAATTTATTAATAAAAATTAGTAATTAATATGATTGCTTTAGTACTTTTAGTAAAGTATATAAAAAAAAATTGATAATGTTTTTTAATAGAACATGTAAAGCCCATAGAAAGAAATTGTTGCCTTTTTAGAATAATAATGCCCTTTTTTTCAAACGTTTGCACCCTGCCCTTTTTTCTGTCTAGAATGAACTCTGGTTTACATTCTCAAAATAAAATCTAAACAAATTGAAATTTGAATAGAATGCCATGTTTTATTTAGTTTTATTGGTCCAAAAGCTATTAAAATACTATTGCAATCTTGGTGAAACAAAACAAAATTTGTGGAAATTCGGTGATTGTATTTTTAAATAATTTCTTTAGTGTCAGTCTTGAAGAAAAAGTTATGAAGTGCAGAAAAACTGAATAAATGTAATTTATTAGTTTTAGTAAAAAAATATCCTATGGCTAATAAAATTAGGAGAGTGAGTAATTACAAGTCATAGAAAATTAAAAGTATTCACAATTTATTTTAATTTTGTAATTTTAAATGTTTTTTTTTTATTATTATTTTTATTATTTTAATGAAATCCTATGACTCTGAAAATATTAAAAGCTTCTAATTTTTTTTCGATGCAGAATGAAGGAAAGTTCTAGGGACGATTTTGGCCCACAAAGGGTTGTCATGCCAATAAAGGCACAATTCTATGTAACAAAAAGAACTTTTTTTACCTTTAAAAATTTGTAATTCTTATTGAAAAAATTTTAAAAACTCTAAGTTACCACTTTCAAATTTTGAATCTACTCTTAGTCATTCTGCCTAGACCTTGGTGCTAGTGTTCTTCATTTCACATCTAAGTATGACCTGGAGTAATAGATTTTCTGGAGTACTTGGCAATTTTGTTTTTTTCATTTGAAGTTTTGAAACTGAAGGTTTTTCTTTACTAAACTAGGGGGTTTAAAAACATTCTTTTGCAATCATAAGATAGTAATATCTAAATTAGAATATTTGGTTTGAAACGTTAAGTAGTTTTTATATTGTTTTCTTTTTTGTTGCACAATTGTCTGCTTGCACACTCTTGGCCAAACTTTGTATAAAAGCTGAATAGAGGAGAAATAATTTAACCACTACCATCCACATTCAAAGACAGTTTTTGCTGCAAAATTTATTATTTTCTGGTATTAATAGATGTTTGTAATGTTTTGTGCATTCATGTTGATCTATAACAGTAAGCACAAAATATATGAACTTGGTAGGTATAGGCACATAGTTTTCTCCCCCCCCCCCCAAAAAAAAAGAAAAAACAAAATTACTGCCTATTTTGTTTTATAGATAATAAACAACAGAAGGTATGTTTTTGAACATTTTCTTGTGCATTTTTGAGAGTTTTTTTTCTTCTTTTTTTTTCTTCAAATTTTGGTCTACTTAAATTCAGTGTATTAAGTTAGCTAGTTAATTCTCTTAGTGTCTACTGTTAACATGTTTTTTTTTTCCGTTAATTTGTCGATTCTTAAAAACAAATTCGGTCTTACTTCATAGAAATAGAATTTATTCTTACAGCAAATGTCTGGATAAAATCATAAAATACTGACACTCTTTTAAAAATGTAAAGTTTTAATAATTTCACATTCATAAAAATTTATATTTAAATTAATAAAAAGTTAATAAATTTGTTCTTTTATGAAAAACTTTCTAGTTCAGCATTCAATGTTTTTTCTCACCTGAATTAATTATCAAAACAAATTGAAATTAATGACTTTCCCCCTTTAAATCATGTTAACTTATTTCAATTAAGAACTAAATTTAAACTATGCCTTACTATGTTCGTAAATGACTTGAAAAGATATTGATTAAAAGCTCCATTTTTGAAGAATTTTAGAAATGCTTCCATTTTCTTCAAAGGCAATTAAAGTAAGAAGTAAATTTTGTTTTCATTACAGTATCACAGCAGTGAGTTAAAAAAAGTGTTTTTCTAACAATGTATATTTATAAAAGCTGTAACACATTGCTTTAAAATTTATTTATAATTCTTTAAATCAAGAGCATAATCCTTTCATGGTTGGCATGAAACTTTACTATGACAAAGGTTTTATTTTTAAATATGACAAAAGAAGAGAAATTTTATGTTTGGTTTCAATTCCAGAATTCAAGGCTCCAAGTCTCAATGTTCAGAAGTATAACAAGACTAATTCAGGTAAAATATGTGTCTCTGCTGTTATATGTGGCTTGCTGGCAGAGCTGTTAATGCACTAAAGCATTCTACTATCCTGGGGCTTTTCTATTTTGGATACTCTTTTGGGGCTTTTATCTTCTTTGCTAATGCTACAAAAAGCTTTTTGTTCTCTCTCTATGTATGTCCTAAGCATTGTTTTAAATCTGCTTCTCTTCTGTTGTCGTATTTTGTTTTCTATTGTCTTAGCTGTACAGTCCTTATAATCAGAGTTCATTGGGGCTTTATTTTTCATTTAAAAATTAATAATATGCTTCGAATAAAAACTGCAAGCAAAAAAAAATAAAAAGTATTATATTGCAGTTCCATATGAGATAGCAGAATTTTACTTAATTTTTTTGAATTGGCTTATTCAATTATACATATAATGGAATTTTCACTTGTAATTATAGGATAAATTAAGAAAAAATTTTAAAATTTTTTTAATTTAATTTGATACTTACACATTAATACTCAAAAAGAAAAACAAAATAAATCCAAAGTTAGAGATTTTACTTTTCAAATTGGTTAATTCTAAACCTATAATATAATCAGTATATCAAACAATATTATCTCAGATTCAAAATTGGAAAAGGAGTGGCATTTTAAAATTTAGGTAAGTGAAGTACACCTTGACCAAAAAGCTCTTATACAACTTTTGCAGCAATATAAAAATTTACATAAGTGTTACTGGAGCCCCTATTCCTTTCAGACATTTTAGTGTAAGATATACATAAGCTATTGCAAACTTTACTTAAAATTTTTCTCTACTTAGGTAGAATAAAAGATTAGGTAGAATATATTATGGACTTTTCTCATATCAAATAAGTCATATTTCCAATGCTCAGATAAACAAGATTCAACTGTATTCTACCCTTTCATCTTTATTTCTGTTTGTTTCATGCTCAATAATTTGAAAATTAAATTTTATTTTCATATAAACTTCTGGATAGCTTCAAAAATTATTGCCTTTCTAGTCTGGCTTGCACGGTTCTTTTTCTTATATCTATTATATTTTGTTCCAAGATATACTATTTTATTTCGAAATGTTTCTTTACTAATGTATTAACTATGTTTTCAGCATTTAAATCATAATTTGAAATTATTATAATATAAACTTAAAATTATCTCTGATCTTGGTATTTTATCAGTGTATTTATTTATTAAAATTAACTTGTTATTACAAGTCTAAAGTTTAAAAATTTGAAATTAATTTATTAAATTTTATGTTAAAGTTTAGTTTCAAAGTAAAGCTTAAATGTAATTCTATTAAAAACTTTTCCTTTTTGCAAAAAAAATCAAAGTAATCTTTGATTTTAACCAAATACAATGAAGTTTTGAAATTCCCCTAAAATACTGCACTGAGAGTTTTAAAATATCTTAACTCTCTTCAATGTGGCTGGATAGTTAATGACAAGTTTTTACAAAATTTGTACTTTAAATGTTTTTAATTGTGATTTTGCTGAGAATATTTGCTTTACTCTTAAGCTTTATATCTCACAGTAATCTATAGATATTAACTTATTAATGCAACTACTTATTTAGTTGCCTACTCTTCACATGTGAAAATCTTCAGGTGTGAAAATTAAATATTTTTTAAAGAATTAAGAATTAAATTATTTTTTTTTAACTCAATTTCTTGGAGTGAAGGTATCAAACTTACATATCAGATATCACGTCTCATTTATTTTATTTAAGTGAAAAGAAAATAAACATTTCATTGATAAAAGTTTAAAAAAGTTATGAATGAAAGTTTGATTAAGTAAATTAGTTTTGATAAGTAAATAAATAATTTTAAAAAATAATGAAGTGGAATGTATGTAACATTTGCTAGTAACAAAATTTTTAATATATATGTATTTTTTTTTTCAGGTTCATCACTGCCTATGCGTGCGAATCATAAAAAACCCGCACAATTAGAAAATATGGAAATAAAATATGCTCCACCACCTCCTGCGACCCCTGCTGCAGCTCCTAGTGGGCCATTGCAACCAATAAAAACTGTATCTGTTAACACTACACAGTTGCCTGGTCGTAAGTTACTCGTTTTTAATTTTTTTTTAAATATATGTATGGTTTTTCTAAAAGTGGTGTAGCTCCATATTTTTAAAATGTATCTTCTTTTTCCTTTAATTGCATGCATTACATTTAGTCATCATTCATTATTAAAGTTAAATCCTATTATAACACTGAATGAATACTTGCGTTTGTTTTCTTACCCATAAATTGAAAAAGGCTAGTTTAAAAATTCATCGCTTGTACAATAAATATCACATATAATGAAATTATATTTATTAAATTCCATTACAATGAATGACCCTTTGTTGTAACTACGTCATTTGCATGTTCCTACTATAAACAATTTTGTTAGGTTTCATTGATTTTCAAATCTGTAATTTATTATAGATTTTATTGATTATAATTTATAATGCATTAATTATATTTAGATTATAATTTTATTTATTATAGATTAAAATTTATTATGGATAGGTTTAATTTATTATCAATTCTATGTTATAAAATCAGGGTTCCCACGGTCCTTGAAAGTCCTTGAATTATTTTTTGCTAAATTTAGGTCCTTGAAAGTGCTTGAAAAACGTCTTAGGTCCTTGAAAAACTTGATAGGTCCTTGAATTTGTTCAATACTGCCGGCGGCCCTTTTTATAAAACACCCGCGGATCTTTCTCGTTCTTTCTGTTTTGTTCCCGAGCTTTCTCACGTGGTTTTTAACGCCACCGTTTCTAACGGGGCCTAGCGTCTTGGTGTCTGCCAAGCACGCGGAGCACAGCAGACAATCAATGCGTTCAGGGCGAGACTCCACTTCATCTTCTGTCACATATGCTTAGATCTTCTTTTTCTTATCGAAACTGGAATACTCTCGAATTTCG